ATTTATTACCAGCGCTTTTTTTTTTCTTTATTAGTATTTCTAAGCTACTGTAAAACTTCGGTGAGTCAGAAATAGTAAAATATTTGTTTATTTTATTTTAGTATATAAAAAATAAATTTGTCAAAAACACAATACCCAGTACATAGGTGTAAGAGTCAGTATTATTGGTAAGGCTAAAGCCATACTACTTTTTGGCCAATCTAAATTGCATCAAAAAAATACAAATTTCGTCCACATCATCAGTGGCTTTAGATAATATTTATTTTTTACATCACGCTAATAATTAGAACCAACTTTTCCTAGTTTGCAAACTTATCAGCTGGAAGGAGCCCAGAAGTGGCCACAATGACTGTAAAAACTGTAAAATAATTATGCAAATGTTTAGTTTATTGGAAATAGGTCACTCATGAAGCAAATAAACCAAAAAATTAACCAACAATTACACATAAATGTAAATGAGCCTACGCTGCCACATAAATAGAGAGCACCAAAAGGGTAAGACAGTGGTCGTGTAGCGCATATATTATTTATACACCAGAAGATCATTACAGATGTCTTTATTGTGAAGCTCTAGAACTGATCGCCTATTGCATTTAAAACACTTTCACATTTTTCTTCTCAGCCTGGATACATAATATGTAAGAGTATCTAGGGTTTTATCCAAAAGACATAAAACAGCAACTTTGTTATTGGTTTTTAGGACACAAGTTATGGTCCACCAGTAGCACAGCGGTATGTCTGCGGACTTACAACGCTAGAATCCGTGTTTCGATACCCGTGGTACACAGAGCACAGATAGCGCATTGTGTAGCTTTGTGCTTAATTACAAACAAACAAACACAAGTTATGATTCACGTAATATTACAACACAAATCCGGGTTTTATTATATTTCGCGGGTGAACTAGTGGGTTCATACATCGCAGTTTCTAATGTCATTATTAACTACATGGAATAATTTTTCTCTAGCTCGAAAAAATTCTAAGGTGTCTGTACTAATCAAGTTCCTTATAGTACAACAAGTATATGAACGTTTCAGTCAGCTAGTAGTATTCTACATTCATAAGTTCCAAGATTTGTTGTATCATTATGATTTTTACAGACACTTTTTTTTCTGGAGTATACACAACAGATAAGGGCGTTTTTGCTCTGATGTTAAGATCAACTTAACTGTGCCTACACTTCATGGTGAATTTGTATGTGATAGTTTTGATTAACTCTCTACGTTCGGTTGCTGCATATAAAATTTGGTTATGTCATCAGTTAAATCTGTGTACTTTATTTTGGTTAACATAATAATGCAGATTGCATTGTTGTCTTGAATGGAAAATGAAAAATACAAACAGAAAATACTTACTATAAAAAATACTGCTTTCACCTATGTTATTGTTGTTTTATTATCTCGAAAAACAGAATAATTTTAAGTTCCCTTTACTTTCTCTTTTGTGTTTATCAACATTATTTGATTAAATCAGATCGCTACTCATTTTTCAACAGTAATGATACTAGTTTGTATATGATTTATAATCGTTCTATATTAATGCCTCATTGACTCATCAGTGAGCTTGATAGCATATGAAGCAAAAATTCAGGGCTCGATCCCTAACGTATGCATAGCGCAGATAGCCCATAGTACAGCTTTGCGCTTAAACAAAAACAAATAAATCTTTGTTGATAAACATAGAATGAACGTGATATAAGTTTCTTAGAATTCAGCCACTCTTTGTATACTTTTTGGGTGGTATGCACCAAAATGTAAAATAACGGGTCATACATTAAATTTGTGGTATACAGAAATTAAAGTCTGTCATTACGTTAATGTTACAAATTGTTAAGAAATTAAGAAACGGAAACCTTTTTTTGTGCAATGAGAACTGTCTCCGGTATATTTTACAACTGAATTGAATTTATCAGAAATCGTTAAACTTGTATAAGTTGTCAGCTCCATATTGTTAAAACCAGAAAAGGTGATAAATCTGCTCATGAAATTAGGATTTAGACCAATTTCTATATACCTGGTATGTTTCGCTCTTCATTCAGAAGTGATTGCAAGTCGAATATCTCTTTTTTTTTTTGAGAAGCTAAGAGATAGTTGTAAAAAAAATTAAGTCTAGGGAAAGAACCATTTGATAAAACTGTACAATGCAACAACAATAAAAATTTTGACGCAGAATAGACCATTTTAGAAGAAAGTACTGTGTCATATAAGTTATAATCTATTGTAAGTGTGAAGTATTAAATAAGGTACAAAATATCATTAAGTTAGGGGTGATTCATCTTGGTTGGAAGAAAATAATCATTCGTGTTTGTCTAACAAATTTTGAATAAATGTTACTTGGCTTATTGTCTTTGTCCTCTGTGTTAACGCAAAGAAACTAACAACCAAGAATATCAGCACTCTTGAAAGACAACAACCATCCTATAACCTGTAAGGACACATTTTTTGAAAGAAATAACAAGCGTAAAGTCTGGAACTTATTTAACGTCAAAGTATTCACGAATAATGTTGACAATTACTTAATTTTCCTCATTAATGGGAATTGAAGAGTATGATGTATAAATCTTAACTCAACATATAAGAAAAAATTGAACAAACTACTCAAAATATTATTGAAATGAAAAGCTACTACCTTTAGTTAATATTTTGCATAATATATCATTTTTTTATCCACTTTTGGTTGTTGTTGTTTTTTTCTGTTTAGCCGTAAATAAATAATCTGTCAATTCACGCATATTGATATGTGCATGAATAAGTAACTACTATCGATTCTAGAATTTAAATATATTATAATGTTGTTGAATTTCCTTTAAATACTAAAACTTTCTTTACCGTTAAAACTTGTGTACTTGAGAATGATCACGCCAACGATCGAAACATTGTTGTGTTTGTTTTAAAAATAAATCTTACTTACTTATTATAAAAGCTGTAACTTGTAAAAAAAAATACGAAATCATGGTTGTTAATGACCATTATGGCGAGACAGAATGGCTTATAAAGGCATTCGTTATTTGTTGCCCTTGAAAAGGCGCATAACTGCAAATGTTAACTTTTGTTGGTTTAAGGTATCTAATATATAGTATTTTAAGGAATTCGCCTTTTTTTATTGCTTACTTTTTTCCTACTCTGTGTCTGGAATGTTTTTAGTTGACCGCTATATTAGAAGGACTAATTCCATTTCAATACAATGGCCTGTTTATGCTAACATAATGCCTTGTTATCACAGAGCAAACCGTGGCGCCATGGGTGGCATGTTTAGCGCCTGTGAATTTAGCTCACGTCGAATCTCTAGCCATTCAACTATGCAATGCAGCCACTGTTAGATTTACTATTAGAAAAATATATCACAAAACCTTCCATATATATAAGAACATACATATAATAAAGCAACAAAAAGACGCAAAGCTTTGAACACTCCAATTTAAAACCTAACTCTAAAATATCTAGGATATTGGCAACAAAAGATCATTTCCTCACTGTGAGGACTAAAACCACCTAAACAGCGTACCAATAATCTAGAACTGCTTCTGCCATTGTCAGCGTTTGCAGGTTGGTCGTCCAATAGAAAAACATACCCACAAGCGATGGCGAACAAGTTGTAAATATCCCATTCAACTATACACAAGATAATTTACAAACGGTTTGCCTTCGTAAAGAAAAATAAACCACGAGTGCACAGGCATAGTGGTGAGATAGATTGCAAAAAAACTGTACAAAAACTGGATGGTGCTTGAATGTACTTGAACAACTGTAAAAATAAATGAATAATTTGCAACATGACACACAATATATACAGAAAGTTCTTTTATCCGGCCTTGCATTATGGATGCTGCAGGTTTCTGATGGAATGATAAATTTAAACTGCGCGTGCAGGCCACGCCTATGTTACCGACAAACTGCAAAATTGGAAGATCACATATTCGTGCAACTATGCTGCTAAACACACTCCACAGTTTCAGCTACATACATTCATTATGAGAGTGACAGTCAATCTTCTCGTCAAGTTTAATTCCATATAAAAACCTTGTAACAGTGAGTTCTGTAGAGTGACTATCTTCACTTCATTCAGTTTATACAATGTGCATATAAGGTGTCATTGGGTTGAAAATAACAATATTAAAAACTACAAAGCAGAGTTTAATACTAATTAATCTCAGGAGAATATATTGATAACACTTATATCAGATTAAATTCCTACATTGTTTGGTCAAGATCCCAAGAAAATGTGGCTACATCACGATAAAGCATCAAGTCACCTGTTTATAGCCTACAGCACTTCATTTTTGCGAATCAAGGAGAATTAAACCGATGTTCATGCTATCCCAATACTACACGTAACTGTGAACCCACCTAATCCACATCCGTGGCCTTCTGTAAATTTGATCAGTTTAAATGTAGACTTTAAAGTTGAAATCCAAATATTGTGGAGGGGTTGTGGAAAATATGTTAAAAGTCGGGGTGTAATATTGGCCTCATTATCTTGCTATAATGGAAATTTTGGCGTCAGAGGAAGCAGTTCTAATTGCATCAAGTAGTTACTGATTTTGCGTTACTTCTTTTTTTTTTGTCAAAACACAAATCCCTTAGTTTGTTTCAAAACATAATGATTAGATTGTAATTCTTTAAAATTAACGAAGTCTCATTACAGTTATCATTTTCGAATCATCTAGTATTTGTCTGCAGCATATTCCACTATATAAAACAAAACATTTTACCCTGACGTCAATGAACTTTATCGTAATGTAGTAGCCTCCTGTCTTCGACATACCTCAAACTATTAAAACCTACAGAACTAATGTTATTCCTTACGTCATATATATATATATATATATATTATCTATAAATAATAAACCATCTCAATGATGACTTTTTCGAGGAATGGACGGAAATATGTTCATTTTCAATGCCAACCATTTCGCTAAAGAAAATAATATAAATAAATAAAATGAAAATTCCCCTCCAATAGAGGGTGTAACACTATCAAGAATACAAAGTATAGTCATCTTGTACTGTTGTAGCTTATAGTTGATACAATGGAGTTAAATTTACTACTAGCGATAAATTTCAGTAAAAAATAGACCTGTTACATATAAGTTTTGAATATTTCAAAAACCGACAAAGATTAATCAATAGATACGTCAGGTACTATTCATGTAAGTATGTTTATTATAAAAAGTCTAATGTAAGTTATACTATTATTATTACTACTACTACCAATTGGTTTTCGTTCTCCTTCGCATTCTTACTCTTAGTCAGTTAAACGGCCTAAATATAAAAACAATACCCGATATTTTGTTTCTGATGATAAAGCCTAGTTTTTTAAGTGTTTGCAAAGGCATTTATAAAACTTCGTCCTAGAAGCTGCTACCTCAGTACATGTAACAACTTAAGCCTAATGATTTTTTAACGGTAAAGCTCTTAACTTCTATTTCTAAGAACGAATGTTTTATGACGTTGTATATAAAAAAGTCTTAATTTTAAAGTAGCTATTGTTTTAAGTCTTTAAAGTGGGTAAACAGCCAGTTACAAGTTGAGTAGACCTATTAAGTACTGTTCTGTAAAAAAAAGTTAGCTTCAATGTTGCTTGAGAATAAAGATCATTGTCAATGTCACTTTGTGTAAGAGTTTACATGACCTGTCATTTAGAATACTGTATTTTGCTTGTTCTCTTGATTATAAGATATTAATCTGGTGAAGGAATACATAAAAAGCTAGAACTACCATAAAATAAATCCACAGTGTCTTACAAAAGTTACATTTATTTTAGTGACTTACATCAATCATCTGCATTAAAACTAAGCTCAAAGCATTGAAACAATGAAAGTCAAAGCATGAAATCAGTGAGATTTTAAACAAGCACTTCACATACATGTCCATATTTATGGGGAAGAAGAGCCATAATTTCTTATCCCCAATTATACATAATATAAAACTTGCTTGTAAATTGTTTTTGTCTTTTTAGTTGACATTTCACATTACATAACCATCTTGTAAATGTTTCTATGAAGATTTCTTTTAAAGCACAATTTGTAATATGCACACATAACAAGGCTCTCACAACAACAAAGCCATCATTCATACTACACTGTAAAAATCTGGGTCCTGTCTGATCCCCTTAGACACCCAATGTTGGGCCTGGTTTGTACTTGGAAGGATGACCATCTGAGAATACCAGGTGATGATGGCACTATTACTTTCTTACGGCCTGCAGGTGGTTTGGGTGCTTGACTCGCAATCTGAGGGTCTCTGGTTCGAATCCCCATCCCATCAAACATGCCCACTCTTTCAGCCATGGTGGCATTACAAAGTGACAGTCAATCCCACTGTTCATTGGTAAAGAGTAGAAAGTGGGTGGTGATGACTAGCTACCTTCCCTCTAATCTTACACTGCTGCATTAGGGATGGCTAGCATAGATAGCTCTTGTGTAGCTTTGTGCAAAATTCAAACCATACCAAACCAAACTCAACAACAATGCTTCCATTTGGCTAATTATATCTAATGAGCAGAGCTAGCAAGATTGCCATGAGCTTAAAAAATTAATTGGTTGGCACAGTGCAGTATTGATATTTTATTATTATTATTATTATTATAGAAAATAACATCATTTTATTAATAATAAAAACCTTTATGGCAGTTTGCTTGAATTAGAAATGTTTGTGGCAATTAGCATGTTACCAAAAGTTTCTTGATTTCAGAAAAATTCTTGTTTGGAAGATTATCAGTATTATCTCTATTTCCTGAAACTGTAAACCTATTAGCCTGACTTTTGTTGTTAGGAATAACATACCAGTTACAAATTTTATTAATTTTGAATACCAAGAAAATGCATTTGCTAATTTTTACATGTCTTCATCTCAGAAATTCATGTGACAAATAAGGAGACAGAATTTGCAAAAAACAAAACATATATTTTATTTACTGCATTAACAACATGAATACAGAAAGTTATCCATCTCTTGGAGTAGGAACCCACAGAAAAGCTGTGTTTTACTAGATTAACCCAATTCTTTCTGATGAGGGAGTATGCATAACATAGCTAATACACTATCAATAGAATTTTTCACAAAAACTCAAGATAAGAAAATCAGTTGTTAGATTTGAATGCTTAATCGTATAACCTTGAAACTAATGCTACTGTTACACTATATAGCCTTTGGAAGAGTATATATATATATATATATATATATATATATATAGTCACGAGGAAATCTCTTAACAGAAGCTACATGTAAAAACATTTCGAAAGTTAACTTTTAATTAACAAATCTAGAAAAGCATTTCTTTGCTTTACCAGTTTGTGAATTTATATGACAGAACTGTCACATTTTTTTTGGATGAGTACATCCCAGTTAATGTTGCATGTCTTGACATTCAGAAAGTTGTTATTGATTTCTCACAAGTGGTTTATTGGTAATTTGGATGCTAATCAAACTGACAAAATGGTCAAGAAGTGGACTGAAAATTGGCTTTGTGGTAAAAAGCTGATTATTAGGCAAATTAACTTTCTTGTTAAAATTGTTAATTTATGAAATGGTTCAGTTTCCCATTTGTTTTGGAATGGGTTGATAATTTTTAAGTTATTGTTTGATAATTTTATGGATATGAGAATTTTAGGCTGGGCTGGCTTCTTTGTTGAATGATCCAGAGGGGTCGAATGACCTTTTGTCACATACTATTATATTTGTATTTTCTCAAATTTGAATTTTTCTGACTGAAAAAATTTGTATTGTGGGGTTCATCAAAGATTTATTGTAGAACCTTTAGTGTTCTTTATTTATAATAATGAAGAATTGCTTTATTAGCAGTGGTATTTCTGAAGTTGCTTTGATATATAGTTAAATGGTAGAAAGAACTGTTTATTTTATTCAAACAGACCTTGAGATTCTTAGAGACTGGGCAGAAAATATTCTGAAAAATGTTGAAAACTGTAAAGAAATGCATTTGGGATTAATAAATTTGGAAGATATATACTGCTTTAAATGAGCATTTTTGTTGTTGTGGAAGAAGAAGGATTTTGGTTATATTGTTGATATAAGTGTACAAAAAAGCAACTAGGGTTCTTGGTTTTATGTTTTTGTCTTTATAGAAATCTTGAAGAACAAAAACATTATATATTAGCTTCTTTTGGAGTAGTATGTCCAGTTTTGGTCCACACACTACAGAAGAGATATCAATGTGTTGGAAAGAGTGCAGAGATGGTTTGCTAGAACAATTTCTGGTTGAAGTCATATAAGCTGTGTGAAATGGCTTAAAGTTTTGAATTTGGATTCTGTATAGGATGCAGAAAATTAAGAAAGTTGATCAGTTGCTCAAAATTTTTAGGAGGTTGGATAGTCTTCCTAGGATTTGGCTTTTGAGTGAGAGAATTAAAAAATTAAATCTTTGAATTAATGGAAATAGGTTTAAATTTTGGAAGCTTAAATGCAGACTTGTGAGAGAAAATGTTTGTTTATTTATAATGTCAAGACTTGTGCAGTGGTTGTGTAGTGATGTGATTTGGGCTATGAATGTATTTAAATGTGAAGAGCTGTATATAAGTGTATTGTGTTTAAAAAATTTAAAGTAGAATTTTTCAAATTAAGCCTTTTATCTTTATAAGGGGTGACCTTGATAGATTTTTTTATTACTGTCTCTTTTAACATATAATCATTTTGCTCATTTTTAGTTATTTTTAGTTTCAGTTTTGTGATAGATGTCAGTAGAAGTGGGAAAGCAATAAAAAGAAAAAGAGTTACTAGTGAGGACCACGTGTAAGTTCACAATACTGTTGGTATTAATATCAGCTCTTTTGTATACAAATTAAGTGAAAATTGATTTACAAAAGTATACAGTTAGCTACCTGACTGGTTTCTGTGTACCACTTGTGTCATTTTCATAGTATACTGTGTGAGAACAGCAACAGCTACTGGTATTATTTCTTCTATCCAGTTTTGTTATGACATAAATCATATTTTGTTCTATTAAAGAATGTTTTCCCATAATAGATTCAATTAAAAGCCTGTATCATTGTTTATGAGTCCAGTTACATAAATAGATAGAGTAACTTAAAGTGTAATTGAAGTCCAGATAATAAATGTAGTTCAACGGACTAAAAAATTATTGAAACCTGAAATGAGAATTAGTAGAAAGGGTGTTTTAATATCCTAGATTCCACTGAAATATTTTTTATGGTTGCTGCCTTTCATGATGTATCAGACACAATACAAAGTTATTATTGAGACATGTTCTATATATAACAATAACTTGATTCAACCTGTTTCAAAATGTTTTTCTTGTGGAGATTTAGTTGAATTAGTCCTAAGAAGAAACATCTTTTTTTTTAGTACTTGTAAGTGGGGCTTAGATTTGAAGTGATATTTTATTCAGTAATTCATAGTTGCCATTATTTAAGTTTTATGTTATTAAAAAGATAATACTTTCTCAAATGTTTCTGTTTATTTCTTTCAAGGTGGAATACAGTTTTTGCCCAAATCTTTCAGCCTTAAACACACATTCAAAGTATATGATTTTGAACACCTAGGAACTTGTTTTTGCTACAGGTGCTGTAAAACTGGTGGTTTGTTTTATTTACAAATTGGATTAATTAATTGCTAGAAGCACACATGTACACATGCGTTATATACTTTTCTACCCCTTGATATGGCTGATAATATTTCAAGCAAATAAAAAAAAAGGTCTTAACTAAAAGGGGATATTGTTTTGATCTGTTGCTGTTAGGTATTTGTAACTCCTAAATGATACTGATGTCATATACTGTAGTTTTAAAGTATTAAAATTCTAAATATCAAACATGATATATGAATTTAGTTTTAAGTTGTTATATTCAGCAATAGTAATATTATGTGTTTGAAATAAATAAAAAAGCTCAAACAAGAACAATTATTAACTGTATGAAAATTTTACTTTGAAATATTTGACTAAGAAATGTTCAGATTATGCATGATATAGTTAGGCCATATGGACTTTGAAATAAGGACATATATAACATACAGCTTTGGAAACCTAACTGTAGTGGCATATTTAAATTTGATCAATTTCTCTTAAGAGTTGTAATTTTTCTAATCATTTACATTACAATGAGGTTTAAACAAATGCCTTAGATTTTCTCATGATTTGGTTTAACTATATTCAAAATCGTATGCGTTATTTAGCAGTTTTTTTCAGCAAAACTGGATAAACAGGGCTGGTTAACAGTATACAAGAAAAAAAAAAGCACATAAATAGAATGTAAATAAATACCTGTTAGCAAACCAAAATTTCAAAAAATATTTCTTGGTTATTTGTTATAATTGTCTCCCTTTGTTTTATTTGCTTAAGTATACATGTTCTTGTTCTTTGGATTTGTTTATTAATTAAGTTGCTTCAAACTTTGCAACTAAAATGCTTTTGGTTAATTCTTTAGAATGCAGAAACCTGCTGCTGGTAGTGTTTCTTCTGGCCGTCCGATTAAGTGTGTGGTTGTTGGGGACGGAACAGTAGGAAAAACATGCATGTTGATATCATACACTACAGACAGCTTTCCAGGAGAGTATGTTCCAACAGTGTAAGTGTACTGTCTTGTTTTTCTTATGCATTAGATAAAAGTGGATTTTGTATCATATATAAGTATAACCAGTTGTTTCTTTAGAGTATTTTAATCTAATTATCAACTTATATTAATAGATTTATACCATAAATTAAGCAATTTGATATTTAGAAATACTAACATTATCCAATGTGTAATGCACTTAGATATTGCTTAAGAATTGGTACATATCTGAACAACAATAAGTTTTGTAAATAAAATTTAATGAAAAGAAAACCAAAAATATAAGTGTGTGTAATTCAGGAACAAAGATTTTTGTAAGATAAATAAAACTTGAAGATTTTGAAACAGATGCTGAAAATGGAGACTGAATGTTTTAAGTATTTCCTTCTATGGTTTGGGTTAAAGAATATGTGATGGCCTAAAAATAAACTCATATTTTTGATTTGAAGTTATGAGCTCTAACCAGATAAAGACTTGTTGACAAACTATATAACTTTGTATCCATATAGTTAATATCATGTTTGTGTGTGTGTATATATATTTTTTGTTTGTTTTTTATTACATACTTTTTCATTCAAGAATTTGTTATTAAAATAATTAATGTTATTTTGTCTGGATAAAGTTGATATGATTTATCTGGCTTATTGGTCAGAT